GGGAGCCTCGACCCAGGCCTGCTCTAGAGAAGTACTGGATGCATTTGGTATTGCTCGCTGTGGTGAAAACGTCTATGTCTGGACGACCCCATTTGGTACACAGTTGGAAAAATACGGTATCGTTGAGGGACCACTCGTGCATCTGAGAGTTCAGTCTGCTGAGAGAGTCTGCTAGTTGGTTGCGTTGTGTAGCAATGTGCACCGCTATGGGGGAAAATATGGCGCATTAGGCACCACTCCCAAAATTGGACAGCAAGATACAGAAGAGGTAGAGTGCGTGTACCTCCCTGTTTGTTGATGTAATAGAGTGCTGTCATATTGTCCGTGGTCACTTGCACCATGGTGCCAGCAATGAGTGGTTCGAAGACGCGGAATGCTTTGAAAATCGCAAGCAATTTGAGGTTGTTGATATGCAGACCTTTCTTGTAAGGGGACCAGGTTGCATGAACTTGCAGATCGTTGCAATGTGCGCCCCAACCGACAGGGCTGGCATTGGTTGTAATTTGAGTCGTCAATTGGAGAGGTGCAAATGGTCTGCCAAGAAAGAGATTGGCCAGGTGATCCACTAAATTAACTGAGAGGCGAGTTCAGGAGTGACCTGCAGAAGCATTGTGGGTGGATTGAGAAGAGGGTTGAATAGGGAGAGGTACCATGATTGTAGCAAGCGCATTTTTAGTCAAGCATGCTCGATAACAGATGTGGTGGAGGCGATGAGGGCGAGGAGGCATTGTATTTGATGAACCATGATAAGCGCATGAGGCTGGAAGTGGTTGACAAGAGTAGTAAAGTACGTATCTTGATTGCATGTCCTCGAGATAGGCTCTTGTGTGACATGAGTCTAGCACAGCGCCTATGTAAGTAACCCTTTGAGAGGGAGTTAGTACTGACTTGGTGACGTTGATTTTGAGGCTAGTAAAGAGAGGGTGAGAGCAATGTCCTTCAGCCCTTGTACATGTGACTGAGCAACGAGTAACCAGTCATCGATGTACAGAAACACTGAGATTCCTAGAGTACGAAGGTATGCTGCTACAGGATCCATACATTTCATAAATATTTGCGACACAGTGGAAAGGCTGAACGGAAGGGCACTGAATTCGTAGATAGTGTGACCTAGGGAGAAGCAAAGAAATTTACGGTGATCTTGTCTGATGGTAATATGGAAGCATGTGTCTCTCAGGTAAATGACTGAGAACCAGTCTCCCTTTTGCACAGAACTCAAATATGCGTTCACCAGGACCTGCCCCCTTAACACACATGGTCCGCCCATCCTGCCGATTACCTCAGTTCCCAACAGCCCGCTGCTGCACTTTAAGACAGATGTGACAGACAGACGGGAGGATGGGCGGGAAGTGTGATTTCACAGAGGACCACTCGAAGAACCACAGTTACAGCTAAGTAACTTCTCTTTCTTCTTCGTGGTCTCTGTGAATGCAGACTAACATCAAGGCACAACTGAGGACAAGACCACACAACCAAAAGCCACATCCGCCTTCGCCCTTACATCCAAACGATCATGGGATGCAAATGTTGGCGGAGTAGACCAAGTAGCAGCCTTGAAAATATCTGGAATAAGTAGACCTCACAGAAAAGCCATGGAAGTGGCTATTACTCTGGTGGAATGAGCCTTAATCTGCATAGGCAGAGGCTTTTGAGCAAGCTGATATGTGAGGCGTATGGTTTGAACAATTCATCATGAGATTGTTTGAGGAGATACATGTGTTCCTCTATGTGGCAAATGTATAGAAACAAACAGTCTCTTAGAATTCCGAAAGGGGGCAGTTCTTTTGACACAGAATGCCAGAGGTCTTTTCATATCTAGAAGGTGGAGAGATCACTTGAGATCCATTGCTAGTGATGGGAAGAAGGTAGGGAGGACAATAGGCTGATGGACATGAAATTCGAAAACAACCTAAGGGAGGAAGGAGATGTTTGGATACATTTTCTGGATGAAACTGCAGGAATGGAGGGTCTACTCGTAGGGCTGCAAGTTTGGATGCCCTACGGGCAGATGTGATACTAGGAATAACACTTTAAAGGAGAATAGACGCTCAGAAGAGGTGGCAAGAGGCTCAAAGGATGGTAGGGAGAACAGTGTGTAGGGGAAGGTCAGGATGGATGTAGATTGGTGACACCTCGAAGAAACTGCTTTAGAGTAGGATGTCTGAAGAATAAGGCAGCATCTGAATCCTTTGGTTGGTGGGCTATAATCGCGGACATATAAACTTTGATAGTAGACAATGAGAGATGACATTCAAAGAGATAGGAAAGAAAAGCCAAAACCATGGGAAGGGTAATTGTAGCCGTAGGGAGATCACTTTGATGAGCGAATTTCTGGAAAGCAGACCATTTATAAGCATAAAGCCAATTTGTGGCAGGTTTTCTCGTGTGAGCAGGGATGGTGCTCAACAAGAGTGGATCCTCCATGCCGTGAGATGGAGAGATTGTAGGTCAGGATGGTAAGTTTGCCCCTGATGCTAGGTGAGAAGGTGTGTGTGTGGGGGGTAGACAGATGGAGTGAGAGGCTATTGTTCTGAGCATTGTGAACCATGGTTGTCTTGGCCACCAAGGGGCTATCAGAATGGCATTGGAATGGTCCTGTCGCAATTTGACAATGGTGTGCAGGAGAAGTGGGATTGGTGGAAAGAGGTAGAGGAAATGCGTATTCCGTGTTGCCATGAGAGCATTGCTGAGGGAGCCTCGACCCAGGCCTGCTCTAGAGAAGTACTGGATGCATTTGGTATTGCTCGCTGTGGTGAAAACGTCTATGTCTGGACGACCCCATTTGGTACACAGTTGGAAAAATACGGTATCGTTGAGGGACCACTCGTGCATCTGAGAGTTCAGTCTGCTGAGAGAGTCTGCTAGTTGGTTGCGTTGTGTAGCAATGTGCACCGCTATGGGGGAAAATATGGCGCATTAGGCACCACTCCCAAAATTGGACAGCAAGATACAGAAGAGGTAGAGTGTGTGTACCTCCCTGTTTGTTGATGTAATAGAGTGCTGTCATATTGTCCGTGGTCACTTGCACCATGGTGCCAGCAATGAGTGGTTCGAAGACGCGGAATGCTTTGAAAATCGCAAGCAATTTGAGGTTGTTGATATGCAGACCTTTCTTGTAAGGGGACCAGGTTGCATGAACTTGCAGATCGTTGCAATGTGCGCCCCAACCGACAGGGCTGGCATTGGTTGTAATTTGAGTCGTCAATTGGAGAGGTGCAAATGGTCTGCCAAGAAAGAGATTGGCCAGGTGATCCACTAAATTAACTGAGAGGCGAGTTCAGGAGTGACCTGCAGAAGCATTGTGGGTGGATTGAGAAGAGGGTTGAATAGGGAGAGGTACCATGATTGTAGCAAGCGCATTTTTAGTCAAGCATGCTCGATAACAGATGTGGTGGAGACGATGAGGGTGAGGAGGCGTTGTATTTGATGAGCCATGATAAGCGCATGAGGCTGGAAGTAGTTGACAAGAGTAGTAAAGTATGTATCTTGATTGCATGTTCTTGAGATAGGCTGTTGTGTGACATGAGTCTAGCACAGCGCCTATGTAAGTAACCCTTTGAGAGGGAGTTAGTACTGACTTGGTGGCGTTGATTTTGAGGCCCAGATCTGCTAGTAAAGAGAGGGTGAGAGCAATGTCCTTCAGCCCTTGTACGTGTGACTGAGCAACGAGTAACCAGTCATCAATGTACAGAAACACGGAGATTCCTAGAGTATGAAGGTATGCTGCTACGGGATCCATATATTTCATAAATACTTGCGACACGGTGGAAAGGCCGAACGGAAGGGCACTGAATTCGTAGGCAGTGTGACCTAGGGAGAAGCAAAGAAATTTACGGTGATCTTGTCTGATGGTAATATGGAAATATGCGTCTCTCAGGCAAATGACTGAGAACCAGTCTCCCTTTTGCAGAAGAGGAAGAATACATTCTAGAGTCACCAAGTGAAAACGCTTTTGAATGATAAAATAATTGAGGTTGAGAATGGGCCGTAGACCACCGTCTCATTTCAGGATGAGGAAATAACGAGAGAAGAATCCCGGGTCCGAGGCACTTGATTGAAATGGCTTCTTTCGAAAGGAGAGATTGAATCTCTAGCTCAAGGGTGCTGGATGGTGGGGTTAGGATGGTCCGCAGTTGGGGAAAGGAAATGAACCCTAGTGAGTATCCAGTGGATATGATTGACAGAACCCAGTCTGATGTCTCTATGTGTTTTATATAAACATATGTGGCTTACAGATGGCAGAGGCCACAAAGGTTTCAGGATCTAAATCAGAGATGGCTTCTTGTAGTTGTTTTATAGCCTCTCTGCTGTTAGACTTACTCTTAGGAAAACGCTCATGGTGAACCTACTGTATATAGGGGGTTCTGTCACTTTTGGCTTGATGTGCCAAATTGGAAATATAGCTTCAAAAATGATATCAAATCTGGTATATGGAAGTTTCCATGCCCAAGTCCATACATCAGGGGCAGGAATACACAACGCAAAAGAGTTGATCTCCTGCTTACCACACTATCAGGGCCGATGGGCAGGGGAATCAACCACATTTTAAATTACCCCTTATAGGATGATGGAATTACTGTATATCCAGTTAAAAGTATGCATGGGAAGAAGTAAGGTCAGTTTCAATGAGACCCTATGCATTACAAGGCTCAGTCAGTCCTACATGTATTTTATTGACACATATAAACCTGTGGTGAAAGTAGAAAGAATCCCAGCTTTTTCCAGAGGGCAACTTTTCATCATAATATTTTCAGTAAAGACATGAGGGCCACGTTGTTTTAAGGCTACAAAAACCACCTCGTTATAAGGCTGCAATCACAGCATCACTTTCTGGAGATTAAGTTCCAGACAGCTCTGTACCTTCAAGTCCAACGGGCTCTTTGTCCAAGGATCAAGCTTTTCAGTACAATTTAAATTTTCTCAAACAGTCATTTCCAGAATCCCATTTTTTCCACCCAAGCACACATTAGAAAAAAAAACAAACAATAATGTGTTTGATGTGTATTTATACCAGTGAGAGGAGACAGAGTCCCCTGATTTTATTGCCAAAATTCCTGAACAGCATGGGACAGACTTTGATCTCACATCAAGATATTCAGTGGTCTTCTGCAGATTCCTGCCCTTATTTGGGGAGCCACTTTTATCCTTGCACTGCGAGGGACAAGCTCTGCGAAAAAGATCTGGATCAACACCCTGCTTGCAAATCCCAGCTGTGCAAGCGTCCTTTGGGGAAATTTTGGCACCAGTGCCACAACTGGAAGCACCCGGGAGGTACACACAGGGGGTGCACGGTTCAAAACCGCCCACAGGACTGAGAGGAAACGCAAGCTCTTAATCTGACCAGTCAGCCACATGACAAGAAGGTGCTGCATTTTCAGAACAACATTACTGTTTCCTTCTGTCTAGTTAACAGGACTGACTCTCCGCTCCTACTGGAAGGAAGTTAAATATCCCTCTCTCGAGGGAATGGCCCTGCGAGAGATAGCAGGGAGCCTTCTTTGAAAACTCTCTTCCACTCTATTCATGCATAAGCTGTGGCTCTTTCCCCACCGTGGGCACTGGAATTCTCGAATCCAGAACAGCCGCTAATGTTCCGGATATCCTTGGTGCTGCACTGATTTGACTTCTTTGATACATGCAGCTATAATACAAAGCATGAACCCAGAAGTACAGCATTCTTCAGTAACTATAAATGATATCTATAAATCAAAGATACAAAAAGCTCAGTTAAAAGTCATTAATTAGAAAGACTCAGGGAAAGAATGTGATACGAAAATATATTGTAGCACCTTTGAAAAGAGAGGGGGGAAAAGAAAATGGGGTTGCTTTGGGGATTCACAATGCCCTGGGGTCACATTCTGGCTTCTGGCAAAGAGAGGCCGCTTGGCCATCTGTATCTGCTAGGACCCTCATCATGGTGCACAACATTCACCAAGCGAATCAAGAGACCCTGTGGGGTTTGAGGAGTTGGCTGAAGCAAGATATGGAGGTGGGGGGGGGGAAGGAAGGATGGCACAAAAGGTCCCGTGTCTGCACTGAAACAAAAAAAAAGCCAAATGTAAACATGGAATGTTGTGAGGCATAGCAATATGCTGGGGGATATATTATGAATGACAGGCACTTCCTCCCTAAAATCCTTTCCCTATGGCAGTAGTTGCAGACGGGCCAGACTCTCATCTCGGCACATACTCCCACTGAGAGCGAGCATGGTCACACACACACAGCGGGGACGCTTCCTTTGGGTTCCATGGGCTGCAGAGTTGGAAGGGTTTACTGTCCCCCAGCCCCCCAGTCCCCAGGCATACAGATGCTTATCCTCACGCCAGAAATCGTAACACGGGAGTGGTTTCTTTTAGATTTAAAAAAAAAGAACAGATCATTTCTTTATCCCCCTCTCATTGCTAGACAATGTAAATATCTGTGACTGAGCAATAAGTCCTAAACACATTTGCATACTGAAATCGGCACTGAAGGAAGACCGGGTGGGTGAGTCAGGCAACGCACCCTGCCTTTTTTGGACATCTTTGCCTGTAAACACCTCTTACATCTCTTTGGTGGTCACTTTCTTCATCTTCTCAGATGTCTCCTATACAGAGAGAAAGAGAGAGAGAGACTTAATTTTAGATTGCTCTGCTATGATTTTGCACACGGGCACCAAAGCAGAGTAGCTACAGATGAGTAAGTCCTCCTCTTCTGACTTGATCCACTTGACATGCTTGATTTTTTTTTAAACCAAAAAGGTAGAGACCACAGTTGGTGTTTGTTTCCTAGAATCTGTGCACAGAAGGACAAGTGCTAGACTGGGGCGCAACTAGTAAAATTGTGCAATTTTAAAAGACAGAGTAAGACTCTTGCACGTCTGCTTCCCTAACTAGTGTAAATACACATTCCTTAGCTGTGGCCCATTAGGAGGAAAGGTCCTTCTCTCACTCCTCAGTGACTTAGGGTCACTTGAGGAAAGTGAAGTAGAGTCAGAAGAGATAAAATACTTAAACCAATTGCTGGATAGCTCAGTGGTTTAAGGATCTGGCCACAGAGCGAGAGGTTGGCAGTTCGATTCCTCACTGGACCTCCTTGACAGGGGTTGGACTCAATAATCCAGAGAGTCCCTTCTGAGATGATGGTAATGATCCCATCAGGTGTAAGATGTGGAAGGACCAAATGTGGAGGCTGGACATGTTCTCAGTTATTTTTTAAGGGATTTCATACCGAATGGAAAAGTTTTGCATTCTTTGGCAAGTATGGAAAACAAGCCCCTAGCTTTTTAGCCGGCCAGCTAAAATAGTGCCTTCTACTAAGCACATCTGCAGAGGAAGAATTGGGACTGACTCCTTCTTTCTTTTACCAGCCTCCTTGCTCTTCTCATGGATTCTTGCACTTGGGTTCTTTGATGCTCAGGGCAATCAGGCAAGTTGCTAAATACAGATATATCTAACCTCTAGTTATTCCCAGTCCACCAAAGTATAGCTTCCACTAACTACAGATCCCTATGGAATTTCACTAGACTGATATTATTGAAATAATGCATTGTTGGCATGTGAATAATGCAAAGAAACCTCTATAGTCTCAGTCTGACCTGATGCTTTTGCAGCTCCTGAACGTATCTGGCCAGTTCTTCTTCAGTCAACTTATCTTCATGCTGCTGTCCCTGCAAAGGCACCTTCTGGTGGCTACCTGTGAACACAAACAGACGTTACATCCCTCGTGGCTGGCTGCCCTATTTCAAAGGTTCAAGTCCAAGTAGTAAGATAAAAATCAGAGCAAGTTCCACCAGCACAGAAAATTTAACACTGATTTTAGGATCTGTGAACAAGGAGGTACACAAAGGAGCACAAGATTCAGGCCAACTACACAACTAAGCACAGTGCTTCCAGGCAGTATCAACCCCAAGGAGGGAAACTGAAACAGGGCACCAGGCTTGGAGCTGTATTTTCCTAACTGACACAAAGGTAGAGCTTTTTGCTCCTAAACAAGTAAGCAATGGAAAAGGGGAAATATTTATTTGTTCACCTTATTGTAAAATTCTGCCTTTCTGCAAGGTCCTTGCCGAGGACCATGGCTCACAACTATTCAGATATATCATATTATCTATGCTACAAAGCCTGTGAATATTTTCTGCATTTCTCCTTCTTCTAACTTCCTTGGCTTTATTGTTCCCTAAGGGAACCTTGCAAGACGAATAAAATTTATTCAACTTCCTTCCAAAGCATGGGTCTCGAAGAAAAGAAAAAAAAAAGTCTTGCGAAGCATAGTCATAGAAAAAACCGTCTTGCGAAGCACATGTCTTGCAAAGCATGGGTCTCAAAGAAAAGGAAAAAAAAAAGTCTTGCAAAGCATGGTCATAGAAAAAACCATCTTGCGAAGCACCATAGGGATCGCGAAAACCGATCGTCTTGTGGGTTTTTCGCCCCACGAGGCAATCGTCTTGCACGAGTCAATCGTCTTGCGAGGCACCACTGTCGTGTGCACTCTCACCACCAGAACACTAAATAAAAAAGCTCTCCAGTGGTGAATGTCTGGCTCTCTTTTCCAATCATTGCTACAACTGGCTAAACAACGACCAGCACTTTTGACTTACAGCATCAAAAGCCCAACCATCTCACATGGGGGGGGCAACTGCAGGATGCAGGCGTTTCACTGGCAACCTCCTCAAGTACTATCTTTGGGGACCTGTTTCTTCAGGATGTAATGCATATTAATGTATTTGCGAAGGCTTTCACGGCCGGGATCTGATGGTTTTTGTGGGTTTTTCAGGTTCTTTAGCCGTGTTCTGAAGGTTGTTCTTCCTAAAGTTTCGCCAGTCTCTTTGGCGGCATCTTCAGAGGACGGAGAGGAGTTAGAACTCCTGTCCTCTGAAGATGCCGGCCACAGAGACTGGCGAAACTTTAGGAAGAACAACCTTCAGAACACGGCCAAAGAGCCCGGAAAACCCACAACAACCATTAATGCATATTACTTCACTCACTTTTTAAAAATAGGCAAACAAGCCCTGTTGCATTTCAGGAACGCTCCTGTTCATGCTGCAGAGTGGAGCCCTGGGGTTCTGCCCTCATGATACTGTTGTAACTCCCAGCAGTAACTAGTGTCTCAATCAATGTAGTGCTTCTTCCGGTAGGGGGCCAGGGGCTAAGGCAACCCTTCCTGAAGAGGGCGCACACAATACCTTTCCCTTTCCCCCTTTTACAATCAGCTCCGCATTTCAGGAACGCTCCTGTTCATGCTGCAGAGTGGAGCCCTGGGGTTCTGCCCTCATGATACTGTTGTAACTCCCAGCAGTAACTAGTGTCTCAATCAATGTAGTGCTTCTTCCGGTAGGGGGCCAGGGGCTAAGGCAACCCTTCCTGAAGAGGGCGCACACAATACCTTTCCCTTTCCCCCTTTTACAATCAGCTCCTGCCCGCCCAGGGCTAGGCAACACCTGACAACTACTTCTCGTTAGGTCCTCCATGCTGCCCTTTGCTCTTGACAAGCTGTGCTTCCACAGATGCAGGAGATGAGATTTCCTGTAAGCATATTTATGATCGCACTACAAGGGAGGGTCAACGGTGTGAATGACAACAGGTGACCTCTGCCCTTGATCTTGGGTGGCTGCCAACCATCTGCTTTAAGGGTCCCTGTCCCTGCCTCAACAAGCACAACCACTCCAACTAGTTGCTGACCTCTGCAAATTGTGTGGTGCTCTTTGAAAGCGTTGCGCTCACCTGTCAGAATTCAATGCATATACTGGTATTATAATAAACAGACGATTCTATTCATACACATCAGGTTTCAAACGATGGGCAAGTCCTTACAAGACTTTCTAAATCTCAGAACTGTGTTCGGCATTCTGATACAGCCAGATCATGTCCTCTGGGGGGTCCCCCCCCTTTCTCAATACAGTTCAATTTAAATTTCAAGTTATCCCTGTTCAGTCTATCTTGAGATCATTCACATAATTATCCAAGCTTGAGAGTCTCCCGTTTCAGTTCAAACTATAACACCTTGTCTCTGTTTGGTGTTAATTGCCAGCCACTTCATACAGTCACTGAAAATTCTCCCCATTCATGGCCTGTGTGACAAAATTCATGGCCCTTTGCCATACCCTTAAGCCAGGCTCTTTCAGAGGCAGTTAATGAAGAAAGTGGTCAGTCCTGGAGGGACAGACAAAGTCTGCCATCAATATAAAACATGACAGATGAAAGGAGAATCAAGCGTTTCCTCCCTTGCAAATCTTCAGTGAGACTCAACAGACAGCCCACAGGAATGGGTTATGAGACTAAAGAACCACAGACCGAAAAAAAAAACATACAAATGCTGGAATTCTTCTGAGAAAGGGACCAACGAGAGGAAAAGGGATTCGACTCGCACAATAATAGATGCTATTGAGAAGGGTTTTGGCAGAGCCACGACATAGACTTACAGCATTCAAGTCCTGCTGAATGGATGCAGATTCTAAGGAACCAAGGAAACGGCCTGCTGCAGACTTGATAATTAGATTACAGAGCCCATTGTTGGGATATGGCACCCTCTCCTGGCCATCAGAGCTGGACCGCCTCTGATGCAGAGGGATGGGGGGGGGTTTAAATCAGTGGTTCTTAACCTTGGGTTACTCAGATGTTTTTGGACTGCAACTCCCAGAAGCCTTCACCATCAGCTCTGCTGGCTGGGGTTTCTGGGAGTTGCAGTTCAAAAAGCCTCTGATGCAGAGGGATGGAGGGGGTTAAATCAACCCGTGTTGTCTTTCCTCTTCCTTCTACTCCTGCTTGGCCTTGGCTCTAAAGAAAGGGAGGAGCTATTGTTTCCTCCTAGGTCTCCCACCATCTTGTTGTATATCCACTGCTGGGGGCGAAACAGTCTCATGGGACGCTTCTTCCCTCCAAGAGACATCCTGGCCTCTAGCCACCGGGGTGGACCAGCTCGATGCTTTTCTTTGTAGCCGTTCAAAGCAGCTTGGCCTTCCCCCATGCTGGACACGGTGCAGAGAGGATGGGTGCTGCTGCATACAAACCTCAGAGCCAGGGGTTTACAAAGAACGAGCCAAAATCTTCAAAGTCATCCTACAGGGTTTTGTGCTGGTCATGGGCAGGGAGGTGAGCAAAGGAGGAAGCCCCGTCTGTTCTATGATTTTGCACTCTTTTTGTTTGTTTGTTTGTTTTGTTATGGATCATGATCTACTGTATATTTGTTGATTACACTTTACTTTTCCCACTAGGTAAACTGGTTGCCAATGGCGTTCTGGTGCACAAAGCTAAACTGCTGTTTCCTGAACCTCTTCTCAACCCCGTTTGCAAATTGCAGTGCTGAACCGGCACTTGCCTTTTCAGACCCTCCCTGTCATATGGGTTACAGCAGAATGTTTTTGTAGACTTTCCCTCTCTTGATAGAAAAAACACACTATTCAAAACGTCCACAAATCATTGAAAAAGGGAACAGAACTGATTGGTACAGAGTAGGGGAAAAGTCCATGGGCGGTACTATTTGTCATTGAATTGATCTCAGACCAAAGGTGGTTTGTGTCATTTTGATCGGAAACTTGATCTGCATTCAAGCTCATTTAGATACGGAAGGGCAAGCTTAATCTGAAAAACCATGATTCATGCAAAGCAAATTTGCTGTAGAATGTTCTGCTCCAAATTGGCACAGGAGTGTTTTTGTTTTGTTTTGTTTTTTTAAAGCACACAGCTGATTGGATAGCCTAGATGCAGGTTTGGAACAAAGGCAAAACTATTTCCCTCTCAAAAAAATCTGGGATTTTCCAGTTGTACATACCCTCACAGGTCATGGCCGTACACACCCAGTTCCCACATGCACAGACGCAGCGATTACATTCCACCTGGGTCTCTGCTCCATCCTCATACGTTTCATCTTCCAGAGCACATTCTGAAAAGAGTACAAAGAAAGGAACGGCCTTGAATGTACCTGGTTGGAACTGAGTTCGAGGTGCTACCCAACCATTTTCCAATTTAATACATATCTTGACCTGTCAAGCAACTCCATTGTTTCACCTGCTAATTCAACAGATTTCCACCACAACAATGGGACAGATTTGAGAATTACTTTATGAGGATGCTACACTAAAATATGGGAACCTGTGGCTTTATGCAGGCCAGCTGGTAACATATTATTAGTGCTGGAGCTGGCTAAAACTTAATGACTGTCAAAGCCAACATGATTAATATGGGTAGGATTTTGAGGCATGTTTCTAAAATAATAAAGAGCTTGTGATATCTTATAAGCCAAAATCCTATTACTGAGTAGAGTAAATTGCACTATAATAGGCCCACTTATCCAATGGGGATTTAGTGAGTCAATGCCTCATGTTCCATCGATTCAAATGGGTCTACTCTCCCTGCAACATGTTACACTAAAGTAAGTCACAATTAGAGTGGATCCATTTAAATCAAAAGAACTTACAGAAGAGCTGACTCACAAAATTCGAATTGATTTAAAGGACCTACTGTAGTGCCATTTACAGCAACAGTTTACAGTAACATTTACAGTTACTAAGCAACAGGATTTAGGCCACTGACAACCAAATTTGATCTGGTAAAGTCACTCACAGACCACCCACCTCTCTTCATCAGATGATACAGGATGCAGTCCAAAAACACTTGACGCAAATAAAACTTGTTCATCTTTCAAATGCCACAAAATTTTTGGTTTTGTTACAAAAACACATCTACTCCCCTGGCAATTTCTAAAATATTTACTTCTAGCCCTAAAACACTTTGTTCTGTCCACTGGTGTTTTTTGGGGGGGGGCACTTTATTGTTGTGCAGGAAAGGAGATCCTACTTTTTTCTGGTGGGTTGAAGGCTGGATTGAGGCACTTCAAGAATTCATTGAAGCTAAGCTTCCAGTCAGCATTTTCATCAGAGAGCTCAATGAGGGCATCTACGCAGAGTCCCCTGGAAGAAGAAAAAAACCACTGATATTATCACCAGTTCAGAGCTCATTAGCCCCAACATAAACTCCAAGCACATCACAAGAAACAAGGAACAATTAACATTGTCAAGGGTTGACATTTAGTCTGTTTAAGAGTGCTAGAACAATTATAGGAGGTTGTGACGATTTCCCTACATCACTCCGGTCCCTAACATATTAGTGTAATGATGTTTTGGATGAATTGTTCCCTGCATATTTCGTTGTTCACAAGGGTAAACTATAATGTTTCCCCCATGAAACAAACTTTTCTTAGGGGGGAGGTATGTGATGATTGCCCCACGTCACTCCTGTCACTCATATTCAAGATCTCATTTGCATGAGCCTATGAGAGGAGTGGAGAGGCAGAGTCAGGGGACATAAGAAGGTTTGGCAGATAGAAGTTGCAGAGAAAAGGAGAGATAGAAGTTGCAGAGTGAGAGAGATAGATAGTCAGGAAGATAGTGAGAAAATATACTAATAGAGATAAGGTGGTCAAGGTTAATAGAGCAGGTGGTGATTGAGTATGTGGAAAGAGATATGATATTTTAATTATTTGAATGTATGCACTGAATAGTTTAATACACTTCAATAAGTAAGTTCTGTTTATTTGATTGTGTGCACTGAATAAAGAACATCGTGATTCTGATTTAATTTAATACACTTCAATAAGTAAGTTCTGTTGGCAGTAACCAGACAAGTGTCTGACTAAAGTCTTTTACATAGGAAATCCACTGGTGGCAGTGAGAAAAAGAGGGAATGTCACAATTGATACCTGCTGGTGGGAGGACACAGCATGAGCTCCTTTTGTTTGGTGAAACAAGAAAGAGGTCATGTGGTAAACGTCACAGAGATTTAAAAATAACTGCCCTAAAACTGTTACAGTATTATACTTTTAAACTTATGGCATGTGCATGAGCTCCTTTTGTTTGGTGAATCAAGAAAGGGGCCATGTGGTAAACGTCAAAGAGGTTTTAAAATAACTGCCCTAAAACTGCCGTAACAGTATTATACTTTTAAACTTATGGCATGTAAACATTATTTACTACAGTTAGATCCAGCAAAGCAAAATCACTGAGAGCATAACAGTTCTCTGGCAACTTCCTGCTCCGTTTTGCTTTTCAATGTATACATAAGAGATATCAAAATAGTAAACATCGACACTTGATGAGTAATTGGTGTAAATACAAGCAATTAATGGCTTCTGAGCAGCTATATGATGCATGTTGCTTATTTCTCTGCTTGTTAGCTGTCACAGATTCTGGGAAGCAGAGAAAGCAAATAATTGTCACTTAGAAGTGGGAATAACCATTGCTTTGTAGAAAGCTCGATAAGCAAAACTTAAAATATTTATACTTAAGGTACCCAGATGAAATTTGAAATGCTTGCCAATGAGTGTCTGATTTCATTCTGTGAATAACCCTTTACTGGGATAATGTCAGCTACGATGAACCAACAGCTTCTGTGATGTGCCCTGTAAGTCTGCCTTTAAGATGGTCTGTAAGAGTACCTCCCTGCAAGGTCTGGCAACATTTGTAATAACTGGATCCTACTAAAGTAATTCATTTGAACATGTGAAACAGCCTCTTGAAAGACCTGCACTTGGTGACAGCTGACTCAAATAACAGCTTTTAAAAGCTAATAGGTTAATTCAATTATTCCCTACTACAGTAGATCCATTTAATGGCTGGGGCGCTTAGAGAAATTCAGTTTATTTAGTAAATCTACTCTGTTTATGACTATCAGCTAGATTTAGCTGAATGGCAATGAAAACAATGTTTGATTTCTTCTCACAGAGGTCATGAAGAAGGTATAGTGGTCTAGTGTGTGAATGAGAATGTTCCCCTTCCTTGTGAGTCCACTAGTTCACCAGCCAACAATCTAGACACGAGAACACACCTAGCTTTGCTCAAAGGTAGACAGGAACTTTTTAAATTGGAAAAGACTAGCCTGAGGATCTGGGCTAAAAGCCAGAAACTATTGTCAAAATACACAAGTAAGGAAAACTCTCCATCCTGTCTGCCTGGCAGTAGCCAATGGTTCAGATGTTGGGCTGTAATACAACCATACCCCAAGATGGTGGAGAAGAGACTTTGAGACAATCCTCTCTTTGTCTTCACCCCATAGGTGATGGAAAAAGAAGAGAACCATCATCAGGGCTGAGAACAATCAATCCCCAGTGCTCTCCTAACAACAGGATAGGAGTTTTGGACAAAGGAAGGGAGAATTCACTCTGAGCCCAAGGGAAAGACTGGGGCAGGGAATGATATGATGAGTGGAAAATATAGAGGTGTGGGTCGGCAGCTATTGGCTATTAGAGGAGATGGTCACTAGATAAGCTTCTAAAGGTGAAAAGGAGTACTCATGCACAATGCACAGTGGGACTGCCATGTTTCACAGGTTCTTGCAACCAGGACTCAGGAAGCAGTCTCACATCACAGTCTGAAACAATGCTATAATCAGTCCTGCATTTGTCTCCAATAAATAATTTAAGGAAACTCCCAGAACTGGACGATAACTTGTCCCACACTTGGGGTGGAGGAAGCAGAAGGAAGGCAAGCCTCACTGAACTCTTCAAAGTCTGAGAAGGTAAGAAAGAGGGAGCCAAAGGGGGGTAAGACCAACCTTGACGTGGCTCAGGACCCAAACATCACTCTGATGTTTGGGCTATTCCCTTTTATTTTCTTATGGTAGAGGAAGAAGAAAAACACTCCATTTATCCCCAGTTGTAGATGCTCAAGACCCACAGGGCTAGACACCTGATAAAAACAATTAAGTCTCTACTGGGTAGATAGAGAACACTTATGCCTATACACCAAGACACCACAATGAGAGTAAATATCAGGGTTCTGGACCACTATTTGTGACTCTGTAAACTTAAGCAGCCACTGAGGAACTCCCTGAAGAGATATGATATATATCAATTAACTAAACAACAATGTAAGAATTATAGGAAGGTGAGGGAGGATTGATTGTGACTGCAGAGAGCTGTCACAATTTCCACTGCTAGTGAAATTTTAAAAAGCTTGCACACAGAATAAGTGGCTTAGTTTAAAGTGTAATTAATAGAATTAATTTAGAAATGATTAATAAAGTCAAATTATAAATGGCATTGATTATTTCACCAGAAATATTTAAAAGCAAAACAGCTTTGGAATCTGTTATAAAGCGGCAGCACCAGCTGTTTACCATTTCCCTTCCTGCCAATCGCCGGCTCCAAATCTCACATATATACGTGCCCAGCTGCTTTCCCAACCATTGAGCAACAGAAAGTGGACCAGAAATTATTCCGCCAACTCTTTTGCCCCAGTGGATAAGCAGACATGACTTGGAATGGGAAGAATGGAGACTTGAAACGGACCTCCTTTGGCTATAATTCTATTTCTATGTTTAGCCTCCTGAGTCTGCTTTACAGGAAAAAAAATAAACAAACATCATTTGTAGTTTGAAATTCATCTCTTAAATTCCAGTTACCTGAGCAGTTTATTTGTCTCTTGATCAACATAGGTGGTGATGTTCACAGCTGTCTCATTTTGTTCCACAAACTTCAGCAACTCACTGGAGTCCAGGCGAGAATCCCCATCATCAAAATTCTGTAAGAAACAAACAAACAAACAAAAATGGCAGTAAAGCAGTATTTTCCACCCTGCAAGGTTCACAGCCACTAAGATAAAAATTCACATACTTGGCTACCAAGAAACCTCAACATGCAGCACACACACTCCATAAGAACATGCAATTTAATGTGACTCGGATGTGTCATCGCTGGATCATGAATCAAGCAAGGACCTCTTGCCAGATTTGTTGGAAAGATAATCAACCGCTTTGTCTATGAGCTGCTAATGGAAAGCACCATCCTCGTTTACACAGGTCTGATTCCAATGGTTTATGTTTTTCTGCATAGGCCAAGCTCTTTTACCTTATATGTGGAAGTTTTCATTTGCATCATTTCCAAGTGGAGTGTTTTTTAAAAAATATATCTTTACTAAAATCAAAACAGAAGTGAGGTTCTTAATCCTTTTAATCTAGAAAGTTAATTATCCTCTCAAAAGCAAAAATGGTTTGGTCTAGCACGGTCTATCTTAAGTGAGCCCATGTTCCCTTATGGTGTGCTTGTTGTTTCCCTGTGCATGGTTCCTGTTTTGCTCATTTGAACGTTTGGTAAAAGTCTCTGTGGCTCTTTTATACCAGTTGTAAAAGTGCCAGCGTATAAATTTTTCTGCCATTTTACCAGCCACTGACACTTACAGGCCAAAGCAGATGTCAATGGAGAGACTCGTCTGGAGAGAAAACTGGCTGGAAGGGACTCGTTCATGCTCGTGATATGAATGGATGAACGCACAGTCTCATGGCAAAGGAGTCCTCTGACCTAGAGCCACTCTGGCTTCCTCATCACAGACTGCTGCCATTATGTCCTGAAAAAGCTTGCTCTTTTCCTGTTTTATTGATATTACTATTTCCCTTTATTATTTCTTTTGACTTAGAACGTGTGACTGAACTGTAATTTACATTCAGCACTCTATTTTGTCACCTTTGTTCTTTCCAACATCTTCCTTTATAGTCTTTCTGTTTTTTTTTTCTTTATGAAATCTGGAATTATTATTTCACCTAGGAACTATATCTGTCTGGTAGTTTTATAAGTGTCCAATAGACAGATGTTTGTCATTATGTGTCATCAACTGCCATCCAATTTGTAGCAACCCAATGGATGAGTTAAGGTAAAGGTAAAGGTTCGCCTTGACACTTTTTTGTCCAGGCGTGTCTGACTCTAGGGGGTAGTGCTCATCCCCGTTTCCAAGCCATAGAGCTAGTGTTTGTCTGAAGACAGTTTCCATGGTCACGTGGCCAGCGCAACTAGGCATGGAACACCGTTACCTTCCCACTGTGGTGGTACCTATTTATCTACTCACATTTACATGCTTTTGAACTGCTAGGTTGGCAGGAGCTGGTATAAGTGACGGGAGCTCACTCCGCCGGGTGGATTTGATCGTATGACTGCTGGTCTTCTGACCCTGCAGCACACAAAGGCTTTTGCAGTTTAACCTGTAGCGCCACCACGTCCCTTAAACTTATTTGGGTCTCCCAAAATACAGACCTGGTGCCTGAAAAAGGAGGCATTGAGATGAATGATTCAGAAGATGGATTATGAACAGTTCCAGATATGAAACGAAGGGGAGCCATGCAGTTCAAACAAATTAAAATACAAATGCAAGAATAGGGTGATCCCCTATACAGATCACTGTGATGATTTTTTTAGAGGTCTGTAAAGGTGTTGCTCATTCTTGCATTTGTATTTTAGTTCTGGATATGTAACTCAAGTGCAAATAAAGCTAGTACTTTTATATACCACTCAAGATATTTGTGAAGGAATGCATTTAGTATATGATAGGGTTACATGATGTTTACATCTGCAGCTGGAAAGAAATAAGCAGCTTCTCTACAGCAGTGGTTCTTAACCTTGGGTTACTCAGGTGTTTTTGAACTGCAACTCCCAGAAACCCCAGCCAGCACAGTTAGTGCTGAAGGCTTCTGGGAGTTGCAGTCCAAAAGCACTTGAGTAACCCAAGGTTAAGAACCACTGCTCTAGAGGTCAAATATCTTTGGTGAGTCTTTTACTGAACTTCTGCAGACTGGAAGTCCCACCAGTCTGGTAATGTGGATTTATGCCACTTGCCCAAGCAATCCTATTGTGCAAACAGGAGGTGGGGGGTTGTTGGGGTGCACCATCGCAATCAGTGCCAATATTACACTGTCAGGACTTTCCACCCAGCAGAAGCACAATAGGATACTGGTGCCTGTTTTCCCATTCCTGTTATTCCTCATACCTTGAAGTACTTGTCTAAGATTTCGGTGTAGTTGCTTCCTTTAGAGAACCACCCATCAGGAATTATCTCAGCTTCAAGCCACTGGATAACCCGACGCCGGAGCTCATCTCGATCCGACTGATAACAGACAACTATTGGGTTGGGGAGAAAAAGAGGAGAGTCGGATCAGGAAGAGGGGAGAAACACAAGGGGAGAAAGAAAATGCTAACACAGGAGGCGAGAACACAATTGTCCTTCATCAATTCTAGAGTGTTCAATGAAGGGATGATCTGTAGTCACTCAGCCTCCCAACCTGAGATTAAGTCAAGTTATGCACATGAAGTTTCTCCTTCTGGAGAGACAGTTTAGATGTGAACCCTTTGCTTATGAGCTCTTGCGGGAGATGAAAAAAATGTCATCATGGGACTTGAAGAATAGAAATTTGTAGTAAGAAAATAGCCTTTTTACTGTTTTTTCCAGACAACATCTGCCTGTTTACAAACATTTCTGCCCTAACTGTAGACATACAGATCTTCCTTCCTTCTGATTGACACCAAACAAATGTTGCAGGAAGTGATAAGAATACCTAAGTATGGCAAAGATATAATTACCTGGACTTGCAGCTGAGTTCTCAGGCTTCTTCTCTATTTAAAAAGAAAAGAAATAAAATATTGATTTGAGAGTACTCTAGTAATTCTATTCTTTTCCTGATGTACACATTATATTTCCTCAAAACATGGAATTATTCAACAGAGGTAGGAAAGAAAATACTGTGCTTTTGTGGCGTGCAGTTACACCACTTGCAAAGTTTAGTTCAGTTCCTTATATACAAACTTACCTAATCGCCCATTGGTATGTTGTTTTACTTTATTATATACACCTGGATTTGGACTACATATCAATTTACTCAACACATCCTAGAGTCCTCTAGGGGGAGGGGCTTCCTTTAGAACCCCAATGGGACACAGAGAATGTGCAGTTGAGCATGCCATGATTTAAGAACCTATGAAAAAGATTCTCTCAGTCGCCTCAGTTTTTCTCATCAAAGTCTGCCAGAATCAGATCCACGATAAGATGCTCATTTCATGGAGCTGGGCAGCTGTAGCCCGGGTGACACCACTCCCCAGAATGAGAGCACACAAGCATATTCCTGGGGCTAAGATTCTGCTTGGAGCCCAGCAGGAAAGACAGAAGTGATGGTTATCCAAAAGAAAAGTCCCATTCTAACCTGGAAACCTGCATACACACCCCAGGTCAGGACTGGGGTTTGAAGCTGCCTGGTCAGGCAAAGGTGACATTAGGGTTAATAGCTATTGTGTAGCTACATCCATTTCTCCACTTATTTAGTTAATGGCCGATGTGACTGCGGGCTGCTATTTTTGAGATCGCAACTGATCCAAAAGCAGTCCAGTGTGATCCCGGCTTACCTTTGCAGTGGCCATCATAATCCACCTGGATCTTAGAGCCAGTGAGGCAAGCATCCCGATGCAGCTCACAATGGTTCAAGTATGTCTTGCCATTGCTGCCGCAGACAGGCCTCTTGTGAGGCTTACATTTCTACAAAAATAGAAAAAGCATGCAGATAAGATAGCCTGAAGAAATGCAGGAAGGGAGTCAAGAGTCAAAATCAACTTCACACAGAATACTGCTGTAACGTATGGTATGACACTAACCATGGGGTGGGGGAAATGGATCAGAGATCAACAGCTCCAATTAGTTATCTAAACATACTGGTTTCATGACTCTGACATAAACCAAGGCTTTGCTTACTGAGTGTTTTGCAAACAACACAGTAGCTCAAAGCTGGTTGTGCATCGCTGTGCGCACAACAGGAAGCTGCAGCAACATTAGTGGAAGTGCAGCAGATCAGAAGTGCTATTCACAAAGCACTTCCACGTGTATGCCAAACAACAGGCAGCCAGACTTGGGGGGCTAAAGGAAGCTGAAAAAACACACCCTGTACAAATACACCCTGGATAACATGCCAAACAATAGGCAGCCAGACCTGGGGGCTAAAGGAAGCTGAAAAAGCACACCCTGTACAAATACACCCTGGATAACTTTTTGATACTGCCCTGCTGGACTACTGCCCCCACCCTCATCTTGTTCCTCTCCTCAGTCTGCTGTTAGACTGGCCCTCCAGCAAAGCTAACTAGAAATGCGTTTAGGGGACAGCAGAAGAAATTGCCACTTTTCTCCTCAACATTCTTAAGATTCCTGAGACATAGGTTTCTAAAAGATGCCAAGTTGATTGATTGCTCCTCTTAGTCTCCCAACATGGTCCCATCAAAGGAAGATATGCAAGGCTGGGTGCGCACACACACACGCACAGAGAGAGAGAGAGAGAGACCCCCAAGAACATAGTCCTGGATGCCAAATCCTCCAAGGATCGGGAAAGAGGGAGGGGGGGGAAGAGGGGAGAGGGAGAGAAAAGGGAGGAAGAGATCATTCTGTGATTGATTCCAGTCACAGAATGATTAAGTGGCCCCGTGGTTAGCGGCTTGGGGGACTCTCTCACATTTGGGGGGGCGACCCTGGCTGTGAAGAGTGGGGTCCACAGTTTGGGCATACATCTGGACCCGACGCTCACCATGGAAACACAGGTGGCGTCGGTAGTCCGTACCGCCTTTTTCCATCTTTGGCGGATTGCCTGGCTGCGGCCCTATCTCGACACGGGGGCACTCACTAACTTGGTGCATGCGCTCGTAATCTCAAGATTAGACCACTGTAACGCGCTCTATGCGGGGCTGCCTTTGAGGCTGATGCGGAAACTTCAGGTGGTGCAGAATGCTGCGGCCAGACTCCTTACCGGAGTGAGAAAATACCAACACATTTCTCCAACGCTGGCCGCATTGCATTGGCTGCCCATCCGTTTCTGCGTTGACTTCAAAGTTTTAATGCTTACTTATAAGGCCCTAAACGGTTTAGGACCTCGATACTTGGCGCAACGCCTGCTCCCACCTAGGTCTACCCGGATCACCCGCGCGAGTCAGGAGGTGAGGCTGAGGAGCCTGACGCCGAGAGAGGCCCGGAAGGAGAAGACACGAAACCGGGCCTTCTTGGCGGTGGCTCCTCACCTAATACTGGAACAACCTTCCTCCAGAGATTCACACGGCCCCTACGCTGGGTGTTTTTAAAACTCAATTAAAAACATGGTTATACATCCAGGCCTTCCCTCCAATCAATTCCTGAATCCTTTTCTAATTTTCCTTATATTCCTTTTTATCTGCTGTGATTGTAATTATTATTTATGTTTATGCACATTTTGTTTTTTAATTGTATTTTATTCTTATTATATGCTGGAAGCCGCCTAGAGTGGACTTATAGTCCAGATAGGCGGGATATAAATCAAATAAATAAATAAATAAATATATTCCCAAGGCCATATACGGCACTGTTGTTGTTTAGTTAAGTTGTGTCCGACGCTTCGTGACCCCATGGGCCAGAGAACGCCAGGCCGTCCTGTCTTCCACTGCCCCCGGGTTGGGTCAAATAGCATCCTTATACATAACAGTGCAAGTTCTGGATCATCTTCCAATTTCAGAACGTCTCCCCGTTTCTTTCACATCATTCATGACCCGAAATTCCTACGTCTTCAGACATGTCACTAAGCATGAAATAAAGAACTACCTTGTCCGTAGCCTTTCCCGCATAGGGGGCAGCACGCTGCATGGCCTCTGTGCAGAGATGGGATACGAGCCGCTGCTTTGGCGGCTCATCTCGGCTCATCCTTCAGACAAAAAGGTGTTTGGTGCTTCCCAGTCTCTCCTCCTCTTGGCAGGCACACACTCGGAGGCAGTGCCCGGGGGAGGCAGGGCAGGGAAGCTGGGATGGTGCCCCCGTGTGTGCCTCCTGGAGGAGGTGGGGCTGGGAACTGCTGAACCTCTCTTCATCCGAAGTGCCCCAGCTCTACTTCCATGTATTTTAGCTGGTATAATGTACCTTCTGAGTGTTCTCAAAACTAGTACAAACCCATCTCTGGAAAACATTTTTAAAACAACTTCCCCACCGTTCATATCCATTTGTTCACCCACCCAGGTCTGCCTCTTTGGCAAAGCAGCACAGTCTCATTAGGGAAGAATGTTTGGTGAATACAATCCCAGATATGGATGGTATCTTCCCCACCTGAGGAAGGGATTTTCTGAACAATCGTACAAACTGAGCAGGCACTTCTGCAAATGACTCAGCAGTGGCAACACTTAGTTGGGGAGAGGGACAGCTACACTACTATTTCTCCTTAGCATTTAGAAAAAAACCTGATTTGCTCTATAGGGAAAGAGGCATGCAACTCCAATTTTAAAACGAAATATAAACATTTTTTTAAAAAAAGTTCAGGAAACAGCAGAGACAACACTGCAGCCGTCCCTCAAAATGCCACTGTATAATGTTCCCTTTAGCCTTATGCAGATACTGTATTTGCATATTGCATCCACAGGTAAGAAGAGGAAGCAGGGAAGAAGCATGCTGGCTCCCGTCCCCCTCCATGATCTCCTCACCATCCCCCCCTTCTCCATGCACAGAGTTTGACTGTCTGCAAGCAGAGGGCCTTCTATGTCTGCAAAGGCTTTCCACTCAGTTTAGATTACTGATTTCCCACCATGCTAAATCACTGCAAAACCTCCCATGAGCCAAAGTGTTCCTTGCAGGGCGATGAGAATAAGGGAACAGAGAGGAGCACTCATCTTTCATCTTCCCTCACAGGTCACCTGGACTATGAATGGGTGTTTAGTGGAATGGGCCCTCTCTTCCTTAAAGTTATTTTTTAAAAAAACATTCAGCTTCAGACTTTTCCTCCTCATTCCTTACATGAAAGTAAGTCTTGGTATCTGCAATTCACTGAACTGAATGCCTCTTCTCCCCCTCTGTATCCTCATATCCATCTCCCCTCTTCAGTTGATTCCTATTCTATCATGGGTAGGGTTGCCAGATGTCAGGCAAAAGGAGGACATGTCCTCCTTTTTAGCCTAATGTCCTCCGTCAGGCAGGCAAAGATAAAAACCTTTAAAATGTCAGGCTTTTGTATATTTTATGTTATAATTTTGGATGGGAGGGGGTGGAAGGACCCCCTTCCCCCTGGCTTTCCCCACCCCCACCTGCCCGCCCACCCCCGGTAATTTGAAAAAAAGCCTCCATTGAATTTATTTTTAATTTTTAACATGACTGTTTCTTGGTCGGTTCACTAAGAGACATTTATTGGCAGCTATTGTAATAAAATTGTATTGATTGTGGGTTTAATCTGGAATGATTCAAATGAAATATTCAATATGTCCTCCTTTGTCCTCCTTTTTGTCTTTCTATGTCCTCCTTTTAGTACCCGTGTATGTGGCAACCCTAATCATGGGTGATACTAAAAATTTAAAAAAAAAAAAGAAATGTAACATGATCACAAAGGAACAGCCAGCTTGGGCGAAGATTTGAGACTCTGCCCTGCAAAAAGGGGGCAGATGTGGATTATTGAGCATAGCCAAGATGATTGTTGCAGAAAGCCACTGGGAAAATAGAGGAGCACATGAGCCCTTGTCATTATGGGAGATGGTGCTCTTCCCATTTGGGAGGACTCCATATTTTGCCCATTAGCCTGTGATATCAGCAACACCAGAAACTCAAAGTGCTAATTGACATCTTACCTCAATACACAGGCAGGTTGGCTCACTCTTCTCTGTCACAGCACACTCCCGACCAGCTCCGCAGAAAACATTGGCACAGATTTTGGATTTGCTTATTGGCTCTTCCTACAAGTTACAACAAGAATGTTGCTGGATTACAAGTTTCATTCAGAAAAGGATGATAGCTTTTCAGGTTCCACCACCACCTGTCCCCCATATTACAGGCTATAGTACTGTGAGTGTTACAACATACTTTGTGATAGAAGAAAAATGTAGTAGTTTAGGCACCAGAACAGCCTCAGCTCACTGTGAGTACTTTGTGATAGAAGAAAAATGTAGTTTAGGCACCAGAACAGCCTCAGCTCCACAATATCACAAACCAGTTTTTCTTAAATAACATTGATATACATATTTGCAAGTGCAGACAGCAAAGATAACAATCTTTTCTCCCAGGCTTGTGTACAGTTTACTTAGAGCATTAATTGACACTCCATTTTCGTTAGATCTTCACTGCACTTTGTGATAGAAGAAAAATGTAGTTTAGGCACCAGAACAGCCTCAGCTCCACAATATCACAAACCAGTTTTTCTTAAATAACATTGATATACATATTTGCAAGTGCAGACAGCAAAGATAACAATCTTTTCTCCCAGGCTTGTGTACAGTTTACTTAGAGCATTAATTGACACTCCATTTTCGTTAGATCTTCACTGCAACTTATTACTGAACTCAGGGGCTAGAGAATATTGCCCCTTCATGCTCTCCTTCATTGCCTATATGGCCAGCACAGAGGCTAGGAAATTTGCTCTATTGCCAGCTTCAGAGCAAATATAAATACAGTAATGATAAAGAATGCAAAACACAGACACAGGGTGGTGAGATATATAATTCTGGCATCATGCTAAGAGGATAGAGATAGTAGAACAGGGTATAAGGCCAAAACCAAAGGAAAAAGAAAAAATTAAAGAAGACAAAAATGTTGTGGCACCTAAAAGACTGCTAGATATTAATGTGAGCTTTCATGGAAAAGTCCACTTTCTCAGCAGGAAGAACTTGATGATGGAAAACTACATTGAAATGGTATCTGCCTCAAAATGAAAATACTTTGCATGGGCAGAACAGATGGCCTTTTCAGAAACCTTGCTCCAAGTCTCCGTTAAGAACAGGAGAGAAATTTATTTGACTTGTGTGTCAAAAAGAATTCACCCCACCTTCACGTCTAGAATGATTGTGTGAACCAGAAAAGACTCATCTTTTGGAATTTAAACTTTTCAGAATTTTGCTGTGAAGATCTCCAAACAAAAATGTGCATTAAATTGCAAGTGTTTGAGGAAAGTATACAGAAAAGCCCATCTGTTGGTGAAGAAAAGACAGAATTATATTACAGATAATTGCTTGCACAAAATATAGGCATTTGCCAAACTTGCACACAACAATACACTCAAAGACAGGATGGAATGAGCTTCAAATGGGGGAAAATGAAAAACTGGAAGCAATTTAAACTGAATTGTTTCTTCCAGACATTTGGAGGAAGGCATTTCATCCAAACACTCGGGGACAGAGTGCAAGTCGTGGCATGGTAACATTACCAGAAGGTGGCAGACGTACTGTAAGTCGACAACGGCTCTGTCTGGCATGTCCAAAATAAGCAGAATAGTTATTAAAAATAACAAGGGATTTAATGAACACATATGTGAGCCGAGGTGGGGTTCTGAGCCAGGAGCCTTGCTGGCACAAGAAAAAACATCTTAGAACATAGTTTGGTCACAACCCAAACCAGAGGAATTCAGCACCATTGGACAAAGACGGGTTAATTACAGTGTGGAAAGATCTCACAAAGGAAAAGACCAACTAGGTCCAAATCAGGAGTTCCCAGTGAGAGACAGCAAAGTAGCTGAAACATCCAGACAAGAATTCTTAGTAGAATGAGTCTCTGTAATCAAAGACCAGCAGAAAACAGACTCTCTCCTACAGCAGGGGTCCCAACCTTTTTCACCCCATGGGGAAAGTGGGGCACCCCCTGCGCTTGTGCACATGCGCGAATGAGTGTGCTCTCTCTCTCTCTCTCATGCGAGCCCGAGCGCTTGTGCATATGCACAAACGGCAGTGTGGCACTTGTGTGGGCGCACAGGTGCTCGTGCACATGCGCAAACGGAAGTGTGGTGCTCGCACAGGCACACTGGAGTGCACGTGCAGGCACAAACAGGCTGTGCGGGGGTGAGTGCGTGCGGGGGGGCAGGAGGTCTGTCTTCGCGGCCCAGTCTGGCTCAGGCCACGGACCGGCACCAGGCCGCGACCCGGGGGTTGGGGACCTCTGTCCTACAGCAAACATGGCAAGAAGCAAATAAAGCCATAGAGCCAACAGCAGCACAAACTTCAAGTTATCATGAAAACCATATAAGATGTGCAACTAATAATGGAGGATTTTGGTAACCAGAGTAAATCTTTGAACCAGTGAGTACATGGTCTGTGGATCCACAGGGAAACAGACTGTGAGTCAGACTCATGACATGGTTATAGTAGTTTTGGCTCAGTCCTCTCAAGGTAGTTAACATTTGCTGCAAAGAGTTACACTATGTACTCTCTGACGGGCAATTCTAAGCTACTAATCCCAGGATTTCACAGAACAAAACCACAGAATGTAAACAGAACAAATACTTCAGATCCATCTGATGATGTAGGGTACAGCCAAGAAAACCTCATGATAAAACGTGTCAGTCTCAAAGGTGACACAGCGCTGTTTGTTGTTTGTGTTTCAACAGACTCTGCTGCTTCCTTGAGAAAAATAGGTATGAGAGGCGTCTTACAGTAAGCTTCCAATCAGACACTTTACCTAAGTTGCATATAAGTGATCAGAAATAGCATGGCCATGATATAGTCTAATAATACTTATTCACAATTCTATAAAGGATGTCATTTCAAATGAGCTACAAACTCAAAAATCCAGTGAACAGTATGGGATGCGCATGAAGACTTATACCCAGAGACTTTAAGGAACAAATACAGTGGAGTCTTGACTTGAAAACTTAATCCGTATTGGAAGGTGGTTCTCAAGTCAAAAAATCTGTAGGTCAAGTCTCCATTGACCTACAGTGCATTGAAAACCGATTAATCCCGTAACAGGCCGTTTTTGTTCCATTTCAGTTTTTTTCTGGCCTGTAAGTCAATTCTCAGGCTGCAAGTCAAACCTAAATTTTGCGGCCAGAGAAGTCTGTAACTCAAAAAGTCTGTAAGTCAAGCCATCTGTAAGTCAAGGGTCCACTGTATACATTTGTGTCATACACGCCGAACCTCCCAGAGGCAAAGATTAGATGCAAATACAGTGGTGCCTCACTTAGCGAGTGCACCGTATAGCGAGTTTCCGTATAGCGATCCCTTTTTCGGGATCGCTATACGGAAACATACCCGATCTTCGCAATGGGGAAAACCCGCATTGCGAAGATCGGGTATTGCGGCGGCCATTTTGGAGCCG